CTCGCCAACACACCTTCCGTGTTCCAGTCCTTTGTCAATGATGTGTTCCGAGACATGCTGAGTAGACAGGTGGTGGTGTACATCGACGATATCCTGATCTACTCAGCTACGTTCGAGGAGCACGTCAGAGCGGTCCTACTCCGCCTCCTGGAACACAGCCTGTTGGTGAAGGGGGAGAAATGCGAATTCCACCAACAGGCCATCTCCTTCCTGGGATACAGGATCAGTCGTCAGGACATGGAAAGAGTGAAGACGGACGCCGTCAGGTCATGTCCAGTCCCTACCACGATCAAGGGCCTACAGAGCTTCCTGGGCTTAGCAAATTTCTACTGGCATTTCATCAGGTCCTTCAGCACCATAGCCGCCCTGCTCACCTCTCTCCTTAAGGGTGGGCCTCAGAAGCTGGCCTGGAACCCTGAGGCTGACGCTGCCTTCAAGAGGCTGAAGGAGAGGTTCACCACAGCACCTCTCCTAAAACACCCAGAACCAGCTCGTCCTTTCATCCTGGAGGTGGACGCATCTGAGGAGTGCGTGGGTGGGGTCCTCGCCCAGCGGCAAGGTAAGCCACAGAAAATGTATCCCTGTGCCTTTTTCTCAAAAAAGCTTACCCCCGCAGAGAGGAACTATGGAGTTGGAGACAAGGAGCTGTTGGCGGTGGTCCTCGCTCTGGAGGAATGGAGACACTGGCTGGAGGGCGCAGTCCATCCATTCCAGATTCTCACTGATCACCGGAATTTGGAGCACATACGTGCAGCGAAACAGATGAACTCTCGTCAAGCCAGGTGGGCCCAATTTCTTACTCGCTTTCAGTTTATTCTGTCCTACCGCCCGGGATCCTAGAATGTGAAAGCCGACGCACTCTCCAGGATGCAACATACCAGAGAAAGGAAGGATCTGGGGGGTCCTATCCTGCCTCCGTCTCTCATCGTGGCACCTGTCGTTTTGGATGTGGACGAAGACATCCACCTGGCGGCTCAGGAGGACCCAACGCCTGCCAACGCCCATCCGGGGCGTGTGTATGTACCCACCAGGGTCCGTGACCGCCTGCTGATCTGGGCGCACACCACCGTTACGGCAGCACACTCCAGTATGACACCCTACATTCTCTCTGACAAAAATACTGGTGGTCCACTTTGGCTACTGATGTCTCCCGCTAACTCCTGTTCTGTATGTGCCCAAACGAAGACACCTTGGAAAGCCCCGGCAGGCAAACTAGTTCCTCTACCAGTGCCTCAGCGACCTTGGTCACACCTGTCCATAGACTTTGTCACCGACCTTCCACGTTCTGATGGCTTCACCACAGTCCTGGTGGTCGTAGATCAGTTCTCCAAATCATGCCGTTTTTTGCCATTAACTGGTCTCCCTTCTGCTCTCCAGGTCACTGAGGTCCTGTTCCAACAGGTCTTCATGCATTATGGACTTCCGGAGGACATCGTCTCGGACCGTGGACAACTACAAATACCTAGGTGTCTGGTTAGACTGTAAACTCTCATTCCAGACTCACATTATGCATCTCCAATAAAAAGTTAAATCTAGAATCGGCTTCCTATTTCGCAACAAAGCCTCCTTCACTCATGCTGCCAAACATGCCCTCGTAAAACTGACTATCCTACCGATCCTTGACTTTGGCGATGTCATTTACAAAATAGCCTCCAACACTCTACTCAGCAAATTGGATGTAGTCTATCACAGTGCCATCCATTTTGTCACCAAAGCCCCATATACTACCCACCACTGTGACCTGTATGCTCTTGTTGGCTGGTCCTCACTACATATTTGTTGCCAAACCCACTGGCTCCAGGCCATCTATAAATCACTGCTAGGCAAATCTCTGCCTTATCTTAGCTCATTGGTCACCATAGCAACACCCACCCGTAGTATGCGCGCCAGCAGGTATATCTCACTGGTCATCCCCAAAGCCAACACCTCCTTTGGCCACCATTCCTTCCAGTTCTCTGCTACCAATGACTGGAACGAACTGCAAAATTCTCTGAAGCTGGAGACTCTTATCTCCCTCACTAACTTTAAGCATCAGTTGTCAGAGCACCTTACCGATCACTGTACCTGTACACAGCCCTTCTGAAATTAGCCCACTAAACTACCTCATCCCCATATTGTTATTTATTTTGCTGATTTGCACCCCAGTATCTCTATTTGCACATCATCTCTTGCACATCTATCATTCCAGTGTTAATACTAATTGTAATTATTTTGCACTATGGCCTATTTATTGCCTTACCTCCATAACTTGCTACATTTGCACACACTGTATATATATATTCTGTTGTATTTTTGTCTTTATGTTTTGTTTTACCCCATATGTAACTCTGTGTTGTTGTTTTTATCGCACTGCTTTGCTTTATCTTGGCCAGGTCGCAGTTGTAAATGAGAACTTGTTCTCAACTGGCTTACCTGGTTAAATAAAGGTGAAAAAAAAAATATATATATATATATGTACACAGAGGACTAATATCAACAACCTGCATATCAATCTCTCCTGGCTCAAAGTAGAGGAGAGATTGACTGCATCACTACTAGTCTTTGTGAGAGGTATTGACGTGTTAAAATCACAGAACTGTCTGTTCAATTGGTTAACACACAGCTCAGAGACTCATACATACCCCACAAGACATGCCACCAGAGGTCTCTTCACAGTCCCCAAGTCCAGAACAGAGGCTAGGAAACGCACAGTACTATATAGAGCCACTATGACTACATGGAACTGTCTTCCACGTCAGGTAACTCAAGCTAGCAGTAAAATCTGATTTAAAAAACAGATAAAACCACACCTCACGGCACAACGTGGACTGTGAAGAAACATACTCACACACACTCTAACACCGGACTGTAAAACACAGACTTAGTAATGTAATGTAGTATTGTAATATTGTAATGTAATAATGAGGCAATGTAATTTTGTATAATGCTCAATGTTTTGTTTGATATAATGTTTTATCTCTGTTTGGACCCCAGGAAGAGTAGCTGCTGCCTTGGCAACAGCTAATGGGGATCCTAAAAAAATACTAAATCCTAAGGTTTGATTGATGAACCTCACTCCACAAGCAGTCGGTATCAGCGCTCTACGATCAGACCTGTCACACTTCTGTCAAAATTGGGTGACCAGTCCCACCCCCTCACTTTTGCCAATGAATGACTCCCAGTGCTTCCAATCCCCCTCCTGGGGCCTCATTTATCAAAGGTGTGTGCACACAAAATTGACTCTAAACCTTGCATGCAACAGTTTTTCCCGCAAAGGTTGGTATTTATCAATATAGATATTATTTTCTTTTTTTGTGTCCTTTTTACCCCTTTTTCTCCCCAATTTCGTGATATTCAATTGGTAGTTACAGTCTTGGCCCATCGCTGCAACTCCCGTATGGACTCGGGAGAGGCGAAGGTGGAGAGCCATGCGTCCTCCGAAACACGACCCTGCCAAGCCGCACTGCTTCTTGACACACTGCTCACTTAACCCGGATGCCAGCTGCACCAATGTGTCTGAGTAAACACCGTACAACTGGCGTCTGAAGTCAGCGTGCATGCGACCGGCCTGCCACAAGGAGTCGCTAGAGAGCGATGGGACAAGGACATCCCGGCCGGCCAAACCCTCCCCTAACCCAGACAGCGCTGGGCCAATTGTGTGCTGCCTCATGGGTCTCCCGGTTGCGGCTAACTGCGACGCAGCCCGGGATTGAACCCAGGTCTGTAGTGACGCCTCAAGCACTGCAAAGCAGTGCCTTAGACCGCTGCGCCACCCGGGAGGCATCAATATTGAACTTGACGGGAAAGTGTGCATATGTCCACGCAAATCTCAGACCATGCGTACACACAACATCTAATGGTTGATCAACAAAATATTGAACACTTAATCTTTTGCATAGAAATATGGGCTGTGGGCAGAATTTACTTTTAAATTGTTCAATAGACAATCAATCTTGCGGAATGCACTCGCTATAGGCAGCATGCATTTTAATTGGTTGAAAAAGTCACAGCAAAAGACTAAAACATTCTGCCGACACTTCTATAGAAATGTGATCAAATTTGCTATACCGATTTCTTTCAGAAACGGACATGGCCCAGTTCCAACATTTCCAAATCATACAGCAAATTAGTGATTTTTTTTTTTGGGGGGGGGGGGGGGGGGGGGGGTAGATCAGCTTTAATATTGCAGATAGATTGTAACTTCCATCAATGTAATTGTCTGCATCACTTCCAATCCCCCATATGTTTATTTTTTTCTCGCAAATACTATATACATTTTATGGACACAGTCAATTTTACAATAATTCTATTTTGTTTGTTTTTACTCCTGAACTTCCTTTTTTTTGTTACCATAAAAGGTGAATGGAGGGCGTTTCCAGGCGGGGTTGTAGTGCTTGTTCACGAGTGCACAAATATAATAATAATATGGCTCTGATTTATCAATGAAAACGTGTATATTTTGGGTGGCCCACCTAATCCTAGAATCTCCACACGCCAGAATTTAGTAAGAAATGTACATACGGTTGATAAATGAGGGTTGTCACTAGTTACCACAGCCACAACGTCAGAATGGGCTTTATCGTAAATATTAATGAAAACAAAGCTTTTTGCTCTTAATTTAAGGCTAGTGTTAGACATACGGTTAGCAATGTGGTTAAGGTTAGGGTTAAGGTTAGGGTTATGTTTAAAATCAGATTTTAAGAAGAAAATTGTTGAAATAGGCGGGGTTTAGCCATAATATGACTTTGTAGCTGTGGTAACTAGTAAACGTCCATAAAATAGGCCCCTCGTTTCCACTAGCTAATCAGATTCCACAGCCACAAAGTCAGATTTCACAAACACAAAGTCAAAATTGGCTACAAAAATTAGCTTTTCGTTTTCATTCAAGGTCAGGGTTAGGCGTTATACGGTTAGCAGTGTGGTTAATGTTAGGGTTAAGGTTAGGACTAGGTTTAAAATCACATTTTAAGATTATAATATTTTTTTTTTTAATGGGCGGGGTCTTTGTCTTTGTGGGTATAGAAGCTAGTGACGACCATCCCTCCTTGCCGCACGACAATTCGACAGTGTTGGCTCACAAGAGACCGAAACAGGAGGAGATGTTTTAGACCTCCGAAAATATTTTGCGCTGATGTGTTAACAATTTCAAGAGGATATAAGAGAGCTGGGATCACGCAAACCGGGAACGAGCAGGAAGCGAAAATAAACGGCAGTTTATGTCACGGTTGGAAGTTTTGACGGATTTCAAAACAGAGTGGATTCTGTGAATGTGATTGTAAACACTGTTCTGGGGTTGACACGAATTTAGGCTAATTGCGTAGGACTGAAAGTTTCTGTAGGCTAATAGCAATTTTCCTTTTTCCAATGGACACGCATTTGGAGACTGCTTGCACACCAAGTATGGAATTACCCCTGTAATGTGGATTGCAATTTCGTTTGAAGAAAATAAAGGTCTACTCCAGAACAATGTGAAAAGATACCCGTCCTGGATTCTAATGTTTCTGGATATCTTGAAAATTATTGGCAACAGTTGAAAGAAAGTCGTTATGCTCAACGGATTTTTGCTCAGGTGTCTTGCCTGCTCCGACCGTGGGACCAAAATGGATTTGACGCCACTACAGACCCCGGTCCCCCTTTTACAGAAGTTCTAACAGTTCTTACACTTTGTTATTACTGTTTTAAACTTTACAAATGCTTTGGAAGAAATCGCCAGACGACCCGCTTGGATTTTAAATCGACAATTGCATTTGGAATTTCAATCATGAACTTTGTTGACAGTTTGATAACATTATTTCTCCTGACACTTCTGTATTTGTCAGCTGTCAAGGTAAGTTATGTTATAACAGACCCCGGGTCTAAATGGACGTCAAGAAATTGATTATATTTGTGAAATGTGGTCAACTGTAGGTCGTCCTTGTCACTCCCATTACTAGGTCATTACTCATGTTTTAACAACCTCAAAATGTTTCGTGGCTTCGGCGATATGTAAATCGCAATTACGCAAAACTGACACTACACCGACTTCACGCAGGCAGGCCTATTTAGCCTACTGTCTGACGTGGTGGCTGATGCGTTGTCATTCACAGAGCTGGAATATGTAGGGCCTAATGGTTTTGAACGAATGTGAGGAAGTTTAGTCTCGTCTGGTGATTGCGGGCCTGCTCAGAACCACCTTGGCAAATTATTACGCTTTAAAGGCGCAGCAGCGGCATTTTGAATTCAAAGAGATATGGCAACAGGTTCGCTGCCTGCACACTCGATCCTGGCTTCATTTTAGTCCGCATTATTAGAATAGCCTAGGACTACCCACCCACCCACATTTGAAATTCTACATTCTGACAAATGGCGCATTGGCTTCATATTTTAAAAAGGCTTTAAAACGACTTTAGACTTTACAATGTAGACGTGGAAGTCTGTTGGTTTGCAAACCATTAATCAAGATGTTGAAGCCTCCTCGTAACCTTTGAGCGAAAGTTTAGGGAAAAACAAAAACACCAACCAATAGTTATAGTAGACACTGGCCTGAATAGGTTAAACTCCTGAATGATATTGAATTGGCATATAGGCCGACTTTCTCAGTAGCTGGGGCGGTCCATAGGTTTCCAATGGCTCATATAAGTTATAGGCCTAGTATGGAAAATGTATGCACCCACTAACTGTAAGTCGCTCTGGATAAGAGCGTCTGCTAAATGACTAAAATGTATCTATTAGACCTTTTTATATTATGAACACTAAAATACAGTTTTACAACTAATAGCCCACAAAGGCCTATAGCTTTTAACCCTGCAGAGGTCCCGTGCCCAAGCAGCCCACCTCTCTTGAGTCTCTCCGGTGCCCCTACAACGGTCAACCCGTTAACTCCCTAGAGAGGAGTCAAGCGTTTTTTTTTTTTTAAACGTGCTCTTATAATCAACCCTGTGCAGTCAAAGCAACTGGTCGTAATTAGTAATATCATCACATTGTCCATGGGCAAGTGTTCGCATCTTGACATCCACCCCATTAATAACAGCATTTAAGTGTTGCGGCCACTCGTAAACTCCAATCGCCGGACATTCACACCACCCAAGGGGCGGGGATTGCCGCTGCCTGAAAAGAAACCGGGTCTATTTTACTTTTGGCAGGGGTGAAATGTTCACCGGTTGTTACATTGTGTGCTTGCGTTGCTCCGACTAAAAACTCCATAGTCCTCACAGAAAGCCACTAGGTAATCCATCTCCAGGCCTCATGCAATCCTGGGCAGCTATTGCGCGAGTATGTGTTTGCTTGCGTAAAGTGGAAAGATGCCAGTCTCTATGGGGCGACTGACAGCAATCACCGTGGAGAAATGTAGCAAACTGGGCTAGATGCAGGTCATTGTACCAACAGTTACCAAATGTAGTCTCTGTTGAGTTGTGTAGTTTAAACTCATATAGAGAATGAAATTGTAACATTTGCAAACATAGGCCTAAAACATCTTCACAGTGAAAGATAATGTAGCCTTGGCTATGAAACAAAACAAACAAAGACACCGCGTGGTCTTTGACAGCGACCAACGTCATATCGTATGTCTGCGCCACGTAGCCTCTTTGGTTGCAAATTAGTAAATGTGAACTGTATGAAATTCATGAACGTAAGCCTACAATTTAATCTTCAATTTGTGTGCCCCTTTTCCTTTCTCCCGCGCAGAGTGCCCACATACCTAAGGAAGGAGGGAGGAGTGCGCATGACGGCGGTAGGTGTTCGATAGGGCACCGTGGGAATAAGCTTTCATTGGGCTCCATCGTAGGCAAACTGCCAATGAAACGGGGTTTGTGTGGTGCTCATTGAGAGCACAGGGAGACCCACGCCGCCTGGCGGAAGGAAGCCTAACTGCACCGTGTCCTCATGTTGGCTGAAGTAGGCTCCAACATTGAAATAATAGTAATACATTTAAAACGGAGTGTTGTCCATTTTCATTAATAATCTCCACGAATTCCATTTGAAATATTGTTTGAGGTTAAGATGTTGAAATTATTTTTTTAGAATGGAATTTAGTCTCTGGCCCTCTTGGCTTCTTTACACAAGCCTATGTTGCACAATATTAGGAAAGGGGCTGCTCTCTCAATCAAAAGCTGAACTTTATATGTGATTGTTTCATACTATGCTTGATTTGGCTGGAATAGGACACTGCAGGGGGTGTGCTATTATTTCCAATCAACCCCTTTCTCTCCAAGAGGAATCAGAGTTCTCTGTATGTGGTGTCTCAATGTCTTTCCCAACATGTGCACCACTAGGCTACAATGTGTTTAGTGCTTCAAAGCAGAAGGTACCTAGCTTTGTGGGGCTGAGAGAGGGAGAAAAAGAGGAAGTCTGTACAAAAGCATACCACAGCCACAGTGAGAGCGGAAGGGAGGGGGACACCTTGATGGGTGAGATAATAATATAATATAGATGTAATGTAGCAGATGATTATATCCATAGCAACTTACAGTAGTGCGTGCATACATATGGTTGACCCAGTGTGGTTGACCCAGTGGGCGATGGCGATGCCGGTTGTTGAAGGAAAGTGTATGTATTAGACATATATTTTGTAATAAGTGTGTGTGTGTGTGCATGTGCGTGGAGTATGTACAGTGCCTTCAGAAAGTGTTCACACACCTGGACCTTTCCCACATTTTGTTGTGTTACAAAGTGGGATTAAAATGGATGTAATTGTCATTTTTTTGTCAACGATCTACACAAAATACTCAGTCAAAGTGGAAGAAAAATGTGTAAAATAATTTTGAAAAATAAAATAAAACAAATATATCTTGATTTAGATAAGTATTCAGCCCCCTGAGTCAATACATGTTAGAATAATACAAGCATACCCATAACATGATGCAGCCACCACTATGCTTGAAGATATGGAGAGTGGAACTCGGTAATGTTTGGGGCAAATTCAAGACAACACATAACACTTTGTATTCAGGACAAAAAGTTAATTGCTTTGTCATATTTTTTGCAGTATTACTTTAGTGCCTTGTTGCAAACAGGATGCATGTTTTGGAATATTTTTTTATTCTGTACAGGCTTCCTTCTTTTCACTATGTCAATTAGGTTAGTATTGTGGAGTAACTACAATGTTGTTAATAATAATATGCCATTTAGCAGACGCTTTTATCCAAAGCGACTTAGTCATTTGTGCATACATTTTTACGTATGGGTGGTCCCGGGGATCGAACCCACTACCCTGGCATTACAAGCGCCATGCTCTACCAATTGAGCCATCCTCTATTTTCTCTTGTCACAGCCATTAAACTCTGTAACTGTTTTAATGTCACCATTGGCCACATGGTGAAATCCCTGAGTGGTTTCCTTCCTCTCCGGCTACTGAGTTAGGAAGGACGCCTGTATCTTTGTAGTGACTGGGTGTATTGATAAACCATCCAAAGTGTAATTCATAACTTTACCATGCTCAAAGGGCTGTTCAATGTCTGCTTTTTTATTTTATTTTCACCCATCTACCAAAAGGTGCCCTTCTTTGCGAGTCATTGGAAAACATCACTGGTCTTTGTGGTTGAATCTGTGTTTGAAATTCACTGCTCAACTGAGGGACCTTACAGATAATTGTATGTGTGGGGTACAGAGATGAGGTAGTCATAAAAAATTAATGTTAAACACTATTGCACACAGTAGCTAGGTTTCCATCCAATCATGCACATTTTATAGATTCCACATAATGAAAATATGCTCATTTTCCCACCAGTGGCATGTTTCCACCAAATGGACTTGTTGCGGATGAAATATGAGTGTGTGATGAGGTAGTGCACACAATGTACTTTTTCGCTTATGTTTTCATGTAAAGTTCCATGTGTTTCAATCGCATTTTCAACTCTACCGATAGTTTTGTTACAAAAACTGTTGTGTTAAATAGCAAATGTGCCTAATCTGGTCTTGGCACATGCGCTTTAGCCAACAGCTCGCAGATACAGTGTGGATAGGCTGTCTGGGTAGGCTAGTTTACATGATGAGATTATTATGGATAAATATTTTTTATTTGTCAAACGGCAGTCGAGCATCAATCATCATGTCACCAGAATAAGACCCTCGCTCTAATAATGACTCCATAATCCATGCTTTCTGAGAATGCTATAAAGTCAAAAAGTTATGGGTGGAGCTAGAAAGTTGGCTGTCAGAAGTATTACAATGTAAACTTACTTTAAAGGTCCCACCATGTAGGACGAACAAATTATCTGTCGGCATTTATAAAATTACACCAAAACGTCCTGTTTCCATCGCAGCTGTCATTATTTTATTTTTTTATACAATATGACTTTACTTGCATAAAAACAGGATGGAAACGTGGTTAGTGAGTCCATGCAACTTATGTGACTTGTTAAGCACATTTTTACTCCTGAACTTATTTAGGCTTGCCATAAAGGTTTGAATACTTATTGACTCAAGACATTTCAGCTTTTCATTCTTAATTAATTTGCAAAGATTTCGAAAAAATATAATTCCACTTTGACATTATGGGGGTATTGTGTGTAGGCCAGTGACACAAAATCTCAATTGAATCCATTTTAAATGCAGGCTGTAACACAACAAAATGTGGAAAAATCAAGGGGTGTGAATACTTTCTGAAAGCACTGTGCAGTATGTGTGTGTATAGGTTCTTGGTATATTAAATGTGTGTATGTTTCTCCTCAGTGATCTCCTTCATGGAGGTGTACAATAAGAGCCTGTGTCGGCCCAGGGAGCTGCTGGTAGAGATCCTACAGGAGTACCCAGAGGAGGTAGAACACATCTTCATCCCGTCCTGTGTGGTGCTGACACGCTGCGCAGGCTGCTGCAATGACGAGATGCTACAGTGTACTCCAACCTCCACGCATAACGTCACCATGGAGGTGAGAGACTGAGCGTTTTACATTTTAACCCTTACACATCTCATCACACTTTTAACTCCTACAACCCTACTTCTACATATAACGGAGTCTTCACCAAGGAGGTGAGGGACTGACCCCTGACCTTTGACTGTTTAACCCCTAACCTCTTACATTTTGACTGGCCACCTCCCCAAAATGGCCCTTTATAACGGAGGTGAAACTACACTTAACCCCATACTTCTTTCTCTCTCTGCAAATTCCTCTGTCCCCCACATCCCCTCACAACACAGTAACGTCACTATGGAAGTGAGAGCCCTTAAACTTTAACCTTTAACCCCATAGCCTCTAACCTCCCCTTATCCTCACATACTATAACATCACTATACAGCTGACAGTCCAACACCTCGACCCCCCCCCCCCCCCCCCCCCAAATCTGTTTAAGGAATCCCCCCAGCCTCTTTTTGACAATCCATATACCCTTATACTACACGTGCGTCTCAAGTTATGTGGGTCTGTATATGTAGATATATGAGAGTGTAAACAGTATATGTTCTAGTATATTTGGGTATATGTCCGAGAGCAAGTGAGAAAGGAGAGTCTATGTGAGTATGTTTGACCATTCTATATTTGACTCTGACTCTGTCTTCTCCTGTTTCCACAGATAAAAAGAATAAAACCCCACAGGCAACAAAATGATATCTTTATGAGTTTTACAGAACACAATGCATGTGAATGCAGGTAAGAAGTGTTTACGTATTATTTTGTACACATGCTGCACGTATACACACACACACACACACACACACACACTATCTATTCCAGTGTTCTTCTCAGTTCGGGGCATATGGAGGTCTTTTCTACAAGGAATTTAGGGGAATTGAGAAAAATAAGAATACGTTCTGACTTCCAGGTGCCCTCTACCATCACACTGGTCTGGTCTAGTCCATCCAGATCACATAGTGCATGCAGAGTCACTTTAAACCCTTGGGTCCCCAGACTGCAACAGCCTCTAGCCCTTGACATGCTGCAGGTCACAGAAAAGTCACACTGCATGAACCACGTATCAGCGTTTTCATTTAACACCATAGCTGTTCATTTATAAAAAAATAAAAAAAATGTTATGAAGATTTCTATCTTACTCGTAGAGGCTACGTTCAGTGTGTAGCATTTCCACCTTTTCATAACCTGCATATAAGCTGCTCATAAACCATTAAAGGGATAGTGCAAGATATTTGGCAATCAAGCCGTTTTCAGTCAGTAGAATTCATGGATAACATTTTTATATCGATGCAGTTTGAAGGAAGTTGAAGGTAGTTTCACAAGCCATTGCTAACTAGATTTAGCGTAATAACTGGAGGTCTACAGGAATTATCACCATTTTGAAGCTAAATGTATAATTATTTAAAATATATACAACACATTTCCACCAACAGGTTTCTGTGCCAATGCACCATACAACCAATAAGCAAAGCATAACTGTATACCGATTACCAACTTCGGGCTCTTCAACATCATGGTTTGCGTTTTCAACACCACAATCAAATAGTGTGTCAATCTCGACAAACAGAAAATACAGTGCATTCAGAAAGTATTCAGACTCCTTGACTTTTTCCACATTTTGTTACGTTACATCCTTATTCTAAAATGGATTAAATTGTTTTTTCCCCTCATCAATTTACACACAATACCCCATAATGACAAAGCAAAAACAGGTTTATAGATTTTTTTTTTGTTGCAAAAAACCAAAACAACAATGTTTACATAAGTATTCAGACCCTTTACTCAGTACTTTGTTGAAGCACCTTTGGCAGCGATTACAGCCTCGAGTCTTCTTGGGTATGACGCTACAAACTTGGCACACCTGTATTTGGGGAGTTTCTCCCATTCTTCTCTACAGATCCTCTCAAGCTCTGTCAGGTTGGATGGGGAGCGTTGCTGCACAGCTATTTTCAGGTCTCTCCAGAGATGTTAGATCGGGTTCAAGTCCAGGCTCTGGCTGGGCCACTCAAGGACATTCAGAGACTTGTCCCGAAGCCACTCCTGCGTTGTCTTGGCTGTGTGCTTAGGGTCGTTTTCCTGTTGGAAGGTGAACCGTCGCCCCAGTCTGAGGCTCTGGAGCAGGTTTTCATCAAGGATTGTTCTGTACTTTGCTCCGTTCACCTTTCCCTCAATCCTGAATAGTCTCCCAGTCCCTGCCGCTGAAAAACGTCCCCACAGCATGATGCTGCCACCACCATGCTTCACTGTAGGGAGGTTTCCTCCAGATGTGACGCTTGGCAATCAATTTTAGAATAAGGCTGTAACCCGAGTGGCGCAGTGGTCTAAGGCGCCGCATCGCAGTGCTAGCTGTGTCACTAGAGATCCTGGTTCGATTCCAGGCTCCGTCGCGGCCGGCCGCGACCGGGAGACCCATGGGGCGGCGCACAATTGGCCCAGTGCCGTCCAGGGTAGGGGAGGGTTTGGCCGGCAGGGATGTTCTTGTCCTATCGCGCACTCGTGACTCCTGTGGCGGGCCGGGCGCAGTGCACACTGACTCGGTCGCCAGGTGTACGGTGTTTCCTCCGTCACATTGCTACGGCTGGCTTCCGGGATAAGCGGGCACTGTGTCAAGAAGCAGTGTGGCTAGGTTGGGTTGTGTTTCGGAGAACGCACGACTCTCGACCTTCGCCTCTCCCGTGTCCGTACGGGAGTTGCAGTGATGGGACAAGACGGTAACTACCAATTGGATACCACGAAATTGGGGAGAAAAAGGGGGTAAAAAAATAATAAAAATAATACGGCTGTAACGTAACAATGTGGAAAAAGTCAAGGGGTCTGAATACTTTCCGAATGCACTGTACATTCCTCCCTACCTTGTACCTAAGATCAATAGGGGATGTTTTTGTCGTCACTGTTCTTTCATGCTCAATCATGCACCTCTCTGCTGCTTATCAGCTGTTCCTCTTTGTTCTAATACACATTTTCAAACGGTCCCTTGGCAAATTCCTTCAAACTGCATGCAGAGACATAAAAATGTTATCCATGAGTTCATCTGAACATTGCCAAAATCTCGCGTTGTTTGTTAACCATCAGTAAACCGTTGTATGTTTTCGCGACTCCAGCTAGTTTATAAGTAGACTGTATCGTGTTTTCTTTGTTTTTTTTACAGTTTTCTCCGAACCTATAAGTACTATGAAATGAGAAGTTTCCAAATTCTTGAGCTCCTGTACCCACTGGATTAGCTGTGAGCCAGAGGATTTGTTGCTCCATAATCAGTTATCGCCAAATGATCTATCAAGTTGAGCAACAAAATAGACATGACAATCTGCTATTGTTATCAGATATTGTGTGTGTGTGTGTGTGTATATATGTGTGCGCCCGTGTGTGTGTGTGTGTGTGTGTGTGTGTGTGTGTGTGTGTGTGTGTGTTTGTTTCAAGGAGATAAGTCAGGGAGAAAGACAGCCTTGTCAGAGGTAACGAAAGTATTGTCATGACTACTTAGGGATCAGGGATGGAAAACACTAGAGTAGCAGAGTGCTATAGGGCCATCCAAGCTAATACCTGCCTATGTCTATCTGTCCACTGTTGATGATTTTTGAATCCGTTTACGAACAGTGTGGGCTGTGAGATAACATCATGTTTGTTTCTGTCTTTCAGGCCAAAGAATGAAGTGAAAGAGCAGAGAGAAAAGTGAGTACAGACTCTTCCTGTGTTGTCTGGAACACAAGGGAGGAGGCATGATTTGAGGAGACGTTTTTTCTGTCTGTCTTTTTCGCATTGTCTTTCTCCCGCTATCTTTCTCCATCTTCTCTCTCTCTCTTTATCGCTCTTTCTACTGTGCTCACACGTTTTCAGCATTTCTCTCTCTCAACCTGTGTGTTACACACAGTATACAACAATGTATCAAAGGATCACTCACACCACCATGTTGACACAGATCCAGTGATCTTCATGTAGTTTACGAGTTCACAAAGAATCACTCCCCTTTTATCCATTCTAATTCCATGACCTTTTGAGCTATCAGGTGAGACACACGGGACAACCCCCAGAATGCTTCAACTCAGGTGAATGAGTGACACCTGATGAGGTCAATGCCCTCTGCACCAGTCATTTAATGTAATTTTCTATACACCTGTTCCTCTGTTATGATCCTCCCTTTACTCTCTATACATGTCTTTAAGTATGTCTCAGGGTTCATGTCTCTACCTTTGTTTTACAGGCTCCTGTGATGTGTAGATAACGTTGTGTTTTTAGAGACCCCCTTTAACCTTTTTTTTTTTATTATTTATTTTTACTGTTTATGGGTCTGGCTTTAGTGGTTCTGTTGTACAACAATTTGCCAAAGGATGTACTAAGGGTCGTTCAACTGCCTTCTCCCCCTCTACATGGGATTGTCTAGTTTTCCTATTGCCTAATCCTATGGGATTACGAGGGTCTTTGGTAGTATTTAGGTTTTATATGTCGGGTATCCTGCAGTATAGATGAGGGGCCTCTTTGGTAGTTAGTCACAGTGGTAATGTTAATGATGCTACAGAAAGGCCTTTGAACATCAATGGGCTGGATCAGTCATCCTATGGAAGCTAACTCCAGTCTAGGTTCACCCAATCGTTGTGCGGAAATGCTCCTTTCTTGTCACATTTTGATATACAGTACCAGTCAAAAGTTTGGACACACCTACTCGTTGTTGTACTGGATGCGTCTCAATCCACCACGTCCGCCAATGTCGCACTTCCGCATCTGTGGTGAAAGGTGGCAGTCAAAAGTTTAAACACATCTACTCATTCAAGGGTTATTCTTTATTTTTACTATTTTTTACATTGTAGAATAATGGTGAAGACATCAAAACTATGAAATAACACATGGAATCATGTAGTAACCAAAAAAGTGTTAAACAAATAATAAATACATTTTATATTTGAGATTCTTCAAATAGCCACCCTTTGCTTTGATGACGGCTTTGCACACTCTTGGCACTCAACCAGCTTCATGAGGAATGCTTTTTCAACAGTCTTGAAGGAGTTCCCACATATGCTGAGCACTTGTTGGCTGCTTTTCCTTCACTCTACCGTCCAACTCATCCCAAACAATCGGGTGATTGTGGAGGCCAGGTCATCTGATGCAGCACTCCATCACTCTCCTTGGTAAAATAGCCCTTACTCAGCCTGGAGGTGTGTTGGGTCGTTGTCCTGTTGAAAAACAAATGATAGTCCCACTAAGCCCAAACCAGATGGGATGGTGTATCGCTGCAGAATGCTGTGGTAGCCATGCTGATTAAGTGTGCCTTGAATTCTAAATAAATCACAGACAGTGTCACCAGCAAAGCACCCCCACACCATAACACCACCTCCTCAATGCTTTACGGTGGGAACTACACATGCGGAGATCATCCGTTCACCCACACTGCATCTCACAAAGACACTGCGGTTTGAACCAAAAATCTCAAATTTGGACTCCAGACCAAAAGACATATTGCCACCGGTGTAATGTCCATCGCTCATGTTTCTTGGCCCCAGCAGGTCTCTTCTTCTTATTGGTGTCCTTTAGTAGTGGTTTCTTTGCAGCAATTCGACCATGAAGACCTGATTCACACAGTCCCCTCTGAACTGTTGATGTTGAGATTTACATTTACATTTTCGTCATTTAGCAGAAGCTCTTATCCAGAGCGACTTACAGTTAGTGAGTGCATACATTTTTCATACTGGCCCCCCGTGGGAATCGAACCCACAACCCTGACGTTGCAAGCTCCATGCTCTACCAACTGAGCTACAGGAGGCCTGAGATGTGTCTGTTACTTGAACTCTGTGAAGCATTTATTTGGGCTGCAATTTCTGAGGCTGGTAACTCTAATGAATTTATGCTCTGCAGCAGAGGTAACTCTGGGTCTTCCATTCCTGTGGCGGTCCTCATGAGAGCTAGTTTCATCATAGCGCTTGATGATGTTTGCGACTGCACTTGAAGAAACTTTCATGTCTTAAAGTAATGATGGACTGTCGTTTCTCTTTGCTTATTTGAGCTGTTCTTGTCATACTATGGACTTGGTCTTTTACCAAATAGGGCAATCTTCTGTATACCCCCCTACCTTGTCACAACACAACTGATTGTCTCAAACGCATTAAGAAGGAAAGAAATTCCACAAATTAACTTTTAACAAGGCACACCTGAAATGCATTCCAGGTGACTACCTCATGAAGCTGGTTGAGAGAATGCCAAGAGTGTGCAAAGCTGTCATCAAGGCAAAGAGTGGCTATTTGAAGAATCTCAAATATAAAATATATTTTGATTTGTTGAATACTTTTTTGGTTACTACAGGATTCCATATGTGTTATTTCATAGTTTTGATGTCTTCACTATTATTCTACAATGTAGAGAAAATAGTAAAAAATAAAGAAACCCTGGAATGAGTAGGTGTGTCCAAACTTTTGACTGGTAGTGTATATACCCTGCAGCTGTGAAATCTACTGGAAGTGCATACACTACCTGAAGCACATTGTACTGTTATCTCAAACAAGTTAAATCAGCGAGCTCGGCTGGCCCTCATGGTCCAGTATTTATTTGAAAATGTTAAGAGTAGCCGAGGGAGTGTTTGGGCCAAAAAGAAATGCTTCCACAGCCAAACTTAAATATGAAACTTGTGAAACCCTTTCTTTCTGGTGTAAGAATGTCTCGAAGCCAGTGTTCTTTTGTTCGTTTATTTTCTCAGAAAGTTAACAATGTCTCAACCTCTCAATTTATTAAGAACTCTGTTCAGTTTATTTGTCCCCTGTCCCCCCTCCTCCTCAGATGTCTCTGCGTTATTGTGCTTCTTTCTCTTTTTCCAGAAAACCCCGGAAAGGCAAGGGCAAAGGCCAAAAGCGAAAGAAAAAACGTGACAAAAAGAATCGCGAAGCGTATGTCCGCTCGGCCTTCTCCTCTCCCCACCTGCACCTGACTGTGGCGATTCTGATCATTAAGCTTGTTTGGGAGGAGTTAATTTGCCCCTTTTAATTAATTTGCTCTCTCCCTATTCACCGCTCCGCCCAATACCACCACCACTCAATCCCACCACACACATCAATTGGCATGAGGCTTTTCTGAAACTCCACCGGAGTAGATAGAAGTCGTCCCTAAATAATAAATAACATCTGATCCTAGATCTATGGTTAGGGGTGACTTCTACCTCAAATCACCACACCTCACGCGATTCACCCATAACCCTGCCTCCTTACCTCACTACCACCCCCACCCCCCTGGTGATAAGGCTGGGGGAGAAGGAATGGAGTGATAGGGTAATGGTAACAGAACTGAACCTACCAGCATGGCTTTTTGCAGGCGATCTCACTAATCCAGTATCTGTTGTGGGAATCATCCAAGGCCTATGTCAGTGTTGAGTCTGTCTTACTTTTCTGTGTCTCGCACTTGTCCTTTTTCCCCTTTTATTTTTTAGTGTTTCTTTTGATCCCTCCAAACAGGTTTTTTCTGTTCTGTCCGCCATCACTGGGCTTTGTTTGCAATTTGAGGATACGAGAGATGGCTATCACATTGTTGTTTCTTTCTTGGTTATGTAAACCAACAAATTGTTTAGCCCGTTCTGTTTGTGTGTTCTCTTTGTTGCCTCCATGGATCTGAACAACACAAAGAACACATTATGTTTTGTTTGGTGCTGTTTTCAACGGAAAGAGGTGTTCATGTTTCTGAAATGGTCTTAATGTCAAAGAATAGAGTTGTTCTGTTCGTTGTGCTGTGCCTTTAGTTCTCAATGGAATGTCTGTCTGTCGTCCCCCATACTCTGTGAAAATGGTTTAACCCCTCTGTGTGGAAACGGAATGGTACAGTCTCTATTGTTGTTCTGTCATTTAAACCAGATCTACAGTGTCATGCAAAAGTATTCATCCCCCTTGGCGTTTTTCCTATTTTATTGCATTACAACCTGTAATTTTAAATGGATTTTGATTTTGATTTCATGTAATGGACATACACAAAATAGTCCAAATTGGTGAAATGAAAAAAAATACTTGTTTCAAATAATTCTAAAAAAATAAATAACGGAAAAGTGGTGCGTGCATATGTATTCACCCCCTTAGCTATGAAGCCCCTACATAAGACCTGGTGCAACCAATTACCTTCAGACGTCACATAATTAGTTAAATAAAGTCCACATGTGTGCAATCTAAGTGTTAAATTAGTTAGATTGCACACAGGTGGACTTTATTTAAGCATCACATAATCTCAGTATGTATACACCTGTTCTGAAAAGCCCCAGAGTCTGCAACACCACTAAGCAAGGGGCACCACTAAGCAAGCGGCACCATGAAGACGAAGGAGCTCTCCAAACAGGTCAGGGACAAAGTTGTGGAGAAGTACAGATCAGGGTTGGGTTATAAAAAAATATCAGAAACTATGAACATCCCACGGAGCACCATTAAATCCATTATAAAAAAATGGAAAGGATATGGCACCACAACAAACCTGCCAAAAGAGGGCCGCCACCCAAAACTCACGGACCAGGCAAGGAGGGCATTAATCAGAGAAGCAACAAAGAGACCAAAGATAACCCTGAAGGAGCTGCAATGCTCCACAGCGGAGATTGGAGTATCTGTCCATAGGACCACTTTAAGCCGTACACTCCACAGAGCTGGGCTTTACGGAAGAGTGGCCAGAAAAAAGCCATTGCTTAAAGAACAAAAATAAGCAAACACGTTTGGTGTTCGCCAAAGCCATGTAGGAGACTCCCCAAACATATGGAAGAAAGTACTCTGGTCAGATGAGACTAAAATTGAGCTTTTTGGCCATCAAGGAAACCGCTATGCCTGGCACAAACCCAACACCTCTCATCACCCCGAGAACAGCATCCCCACAGTGAAGCATGGTGGTGGCAGCATCATGCTGTGGGGATGTTTTTCATCGGCAGGGACTGGGAAACTGGTCAGAATTGAAGGAATGATGGATGGCGCTAAATACAGGGAAATTCTTGAGGGAAACCTGTTTCAGTCTTCCAGAGATTTGAGACTGGGACGGAGGTTCACCTTCCAGCAGGACAATGACCCTAAGCATACTGCTAAAGTAACACTCGAGTGGTTTAAGGGGAAACATTTTAAATGTCTTGGAATGGCCTAGTCAAAGCCCAGACCTCAATCCAATTGAGAATCTGTGGTATGACTTAAAGATTGCTGTACACCAGCGGAACCCATCCAACTTGAAGGAGCTGGAGCAGTTTTGCCTTGAATAATGGGCAAAAATCCCAGTGGCTAGATGTGCCAAGCTTATAGAGACATACCCCAAGAGATTTGCAGGTGTAATTGCTGCAAAAGGGGGCTCTACAAAGTATTGAATAGTTATGCACACTCAAGTTTTCTGTTTTTTTGTCTTATTTATTTTGCATCTTCAAAGTGGTAGGCATGTTGTGTAAATCAAATGATACAAACCCCCCAAAAATCTATTTTAATTCCAGGTTGTAAGGCAACAAAATAGGAAAAATGCCGAGGGGGGGGGGTGAATACTTTCGCAAGCCACTGTATCTTCTGGTATCTACTGGTTGTCTATCTGATCTGTGTCTATAAGGGAAAACATTTACTTTTTAATATTTTAATTAAATAAAAACTCATCCTGTATCTTTACGCACAAAGCAGACCTCTGAGTTTTATTTGATTATGTAAAAATAGAGTTTAGGGATGAGTTGATTTTGACAATGTTTTGTGTTGTAAGCCTCACGTCCCTTGCCAAAGCTAGCTGGTGCATGTCTAACCGAAACAATGCATACTGTACGTGGGCAAGCCAATCATCCTAAAAATCACTCCCCCCTACGAGACAGTAGGAGGTGGTCTCCCTGCCAGCATGGGCTGAGTCGTGAGCCAGGAGACGGGGGAGAGAGAGGGCGAAGGGTTTGGGGGTAATTTTGCTGTTTGCAAAGTGTCTGTTTTTGTACAACCCTCTGGTCACATGCTACAATTCATCCTCTTTTACCCACCCACACATACTGCACATTGACACATACAGCACATTCACACATAGGTCAGGGACATTAGGAGTGTGAAGTTGCAGCATGTGATAAGAGAGTTGACCTTAAGGAAACGACCTTGGAAGTGTTTTTCTGTTAACACCATTATAATAAATATCCTCCCTCTCTTTTTCTCTTCCTCCTCTTTCCCCTTCTTCATCCTTCCCCTTCTCATTTCCTCTCCTCTCTCTCTCTGTCTTTTATATTATACTATAGTCAGTGTGAGCCATGTTGTGATGGCTGTTCAGAGAGGAGAAAGCGGTTGTTCATCCAGGACCCTCTAACCTGCCAGTGTTCCTGCAGAAACTCTGACGCCGACTGCAGGGCACGTCACCTGGAGCTCAACGAGCGGACCTGCAGGTGTGTGGGGGACTCTTGGACTCATAACTCCGTATGGTAACCAAGATGGTGTTTGGTGGCATTTCTTGACCACATTAAGGCATACCATTAGCCAAGAACCTGACCAAGACATTGGCGCTAAGACCACGAATGTGTCATACGATTCTGTTTAATGCCTGTCTTCTCTGTGATCCCCAGATGTGACAAGCCCAGGAGATGAGAGTCCAAGCTTCAGATGAAACAACGTGAAGGAATATTCCCAAGATATTTCACAGCACTTTCAACTCTGAGCTTATCTTCTCAGTGGAAAGCATTCCCCTGGTCTGACTGAGAAACAGCAGATAGAAAAGAGAGGGAGAGAGAAAGAAAGAAAGAAATAATAGAAAATAATCCCAATGTATCTGTATATACTAAGAGAGAGAGAGAAAGAAAAAGTACAGGATTTGTATTGCTGCTAAAAGAACTAACTAAAACCCATCACTATAAAAAAGCAAACAGTCATGTGGTTTGCATTTCGCTGGCGTTTGACTGGACTGCGGTTTTGTTGTTGATTCATTTATGCAAATACTTCACTGGATATATATATGAGTGTACTGTGGTTATGTGTCGAATCATAAGGAACAAAACCTAGCTATGTGGTACATATCTCCACAGAAAATAAAAGAAGATGAAGGAAGAACATTCTTCCTCTGAAACATACTTCCTGACCCATAGACTCCCTTTGCAGGAACCCAATGGCAGGACAGCCAATGGGAGATGGGGATCCGTCCCTTTATGACATCACTTCCTTTACCTTAAAGGAAGTTCTAGAACTGATGCGTGGAACGTGTGGAAAGCTAGAACTGCGTCTTTTGCTGCCCTAGCTAGCAGTGGAACTAGATTTGGAGTGCCATAATACTTCTAAAGGGATACTGGTGATTGATTTTGGTATATATGGAAACCACTAGAAACAACTGATACTGTAGCTTGATTCCATTGAGAAACTGTGCCTCACAAACTGTGCTAATCACTTTAGAGTGAGAAATCCTGAATTAGCTTCTTAAATTATTATTTTTTCTTTTTTTTGAAGGGGAGGGGGATGGTATGCTGTCTGCGGTTGAACTCAATACAGAATGCAATAGTATCGATGGCAAGCTGTCTGTATATACTATACATACTTAATATCCCTTATGTCATAGTCCACTATAGATAATTTATAATGTTAGAGTATTTTCAGTATTCAGTCCTCTACCCGTATTTAATTTGATCTATTTATATATCAAGTGTTATGTTCCTTTGGGTTTCCCCCCCTCCCTGCTATGTGATGTCATTGTGGTCTCCACTCTGCCTAGCTACATAGAGACACTCTGCTCTTGGCTTTCATAAGAAAAGAAAAACCTTTTATGTAAACATTCCTGAAATGGATAATTTGTATGGATGCCATCTATTCTGGATTTATCAACCCTTTTTATAGAGGGTGGAGGTGCTGCGAGTGATATATTTTTTTAAACCTGCTCTATGGTCTTGGCGCGTGAGGCGCGTGCGTGCGTGCACGTGTGTGTGCGTTGTTGTGTTAGAGAGAAACAGGAGGCTTGTGCTTGTCTTGAGCTCCACCATGCAAATAACAATAAACCATTGCTAAAAGATAGCTTGGCCTACCAAGTCAACTGTTTGTATTACAGCTAGCAATCTGCAATATCAAGAATATATGATTTCATGATAATAGTACTTATTGTTCCTTTTCCAATATTAACATGTTTTTTTTCTGTGACAGTGTAAAGTAGTAAAGCATATTTATTTACAAATTATATTGCTTTTTTATATATAAAATTGAGGAAAAGGTTGCTGTGTTTTGAAGCAGTGAGTTTTGAAGAGGTTGTATGAGTTATTGTTTGTGTAGTGTTTGAAACATGGCTGTCGTATGTTGGAGAAGCTATCTTCGATATCTGTTATGACTACGAAACTCGAAAAGGGATGCACTCACACAGCTCATAAGAGCATATGCCGTGGAATATAAAACATGACTCAAAAGAAGAAATTCCTGAACACCTTTGACAAAGATCTATAGACCAAAATAGTGTATGAATAAAAAGGTGAGACTGGAGGAATTTCTTATTTTGAACGCCCATGAAACAGCATTAGAAAGGTATGAGGGACACATGGGGAAATACTTCAGATGACCTCTTACCTAGGAACTTTGGAAGTGTGTTTTTTCCTGCCATAGGCCACATTCAAATTCTTTAAATTGTCTTCCTTCCGCTCTCACAAAGTGACCTGACAGGTGCTGGTCACTGATCACAATGAGTGAGTTAGCAATGCGAGCTAGCATGTTCGCCACTAACAACGGTGGACTAGTAGTTACTGTAAAAATACTCCTATGAAATAATCTCAGAATATTATCCCTGCTTTGCTATGTAGTAAAGGTTTGGCGACAACAGCCTCTAGCCCAGTGGTTCCCAACCAGGGAACCATAAATGTGTTTTAACCTGTCCCCAAATTAATATACAGTGGGGGAAAAAAGTATTTAGTCAGCCACCAATTGTGCAAGTTCTCCCACCTAAAAAGATGAGAGAGGCCTGTAATTTTCATCATAGGTACACGTCAACTATGACAGACAAAATGAGAAAAATAAATCCAGAAAATCACATTGTAGGATTTTTATTGAATTTATTTGCAAATTACGGTGGAAAATAAGTATTTGGTCAATAACAAAAGTTTCTCAATACTTTGTTATTTACCCTTTGTTGGCAATGACACAGGTCAAACGTTTTCTGTAAGTCTTCACAAGGTTTTCACACACTGTTGCTGGTATTTTGGCCCATTCCTCCATGCAGATCTCCTCTAGAGCAGTGATGTTTTGGGGCTGTCGCTGGGCAACACAGACTTTCAACTCCCTCCAAAGATTTTCTATGGGGTTGAGATCTGGAGACTGGCTAGGCCACTCCAGGACCTTGAAATGCTTCTTACGAAGCCACTCCTTCGTTGCCCGGGCGGTGTGTTTGGGATCATTGTCATGCTGAAAGACCCAGCCACGTTTCATCTTCAATGCCCTTGCTGATGGAAGGAGGTTTTCACTCAAAATCTCACGATACATGGCCCCATTCATTCTTTCCTTTACACGGATCAGTCGTCCTGGTCCCTTTGCAGAAAAACAGCCCCAAAGCATGATGTTTCCACCACCATGCTTCACAGTAGGTATGGTGTTCTTTGGATGCAACTCAGCATTCTTTGTCCTCCAAACACTACGAGTTGAGGTCCCCCCGTGTGGTTCTGGGATTTTTGCTCACTGTTCTTGTGATCATTTTGACCCCACGGGGTGAGATCTTGCGTGGAGCCCCAGATCTAGGGAGATTATCAGTGGTCTTGTATGTCTTCCATTTCCTAATAATTGCTCCCACAGTTGATTTCTTCAAACCAAGCTGCTTACCTATTGCAGATTCAGTCTTCCCAGCCTGGTGCAGGTCTACAATTTTGTTTCTGGTGTCCTTTGACAGCTCTTTGGTCTTGGCCATAGTGGAGTTTGGAGTGTGACTGTTTGAGGTTGTGGACAGGTGTCTTTTATACTAATAACAAGTTCAAACAGGTGCCATTAATACAGGTAACGAGTGGAGGACAGAGGAGCCTCTTAAAGAAGAAGTTACAGGTCTGTGAGAGCCAGAAATCTTGCTTGTTTGTAGGTGACCAAATACTTATTTTCCACCATAATTTGCAAATAAATTCATTAAAAACCCTACAATGTGATTTTCTGGATTTTTGTTTCTCAATTTGTCTTTCATAGTTGACGTGTACCTATGATGAAAATTACAGGCCTCTCTCATCTTTTTAAGTGGGAGAACTTGCACAATTGGTGGCTGACTAAATACTTTTTTCCCCCACTGTAGTTGGTTCACAGTTGGTTTTGGTATTTTAACCTGCGTGTCATGACTCGGTCTGGTGGGGAAGGGCAAAATCAACATGTGCAAGATGGCAGACACGCGTGGAGCCGGTTTGGTCAGCATGTAACGGAAAACACGCTATGCATAAATTTCAATATACGTGAGCAAGCTTTTCAGAAATCGCGAGTGCAGAAATTTTGTCTGAAATTTACGCAACGGTTATAAATGAGGCCTCTGGGGAGCAGAGCAGAAAATCCAATCCTAATCCCCCTGTAAATGTGGATTACAGGGAGATTGTTGGGTCTTTGGCCATGTTTGTTTTGAAACAGATGTAGCCATTTCCCAACGGATTACCCGTTAACGCAGAGCGCTAATGCAGTTGTGTGAAAAGACTTCTTTACCCCAACTATTTATTCTACTCATAAAATATACCATAAACACATTTAATCCCAGGGGCCCTCACACAGCTAAACACCCTTAAGAATGCCGTACATGATTTAATCTGTGATTTACTCTGGTATCCAGGGGAGGTAAGCGACCGAGCCATCCATTTCTCTCCCCCGCTAGCTATGTAAACATAGCCTAACACATGCTAGCTAGCAGACCTGCTGGACTTTACTCTGTTAGTTTAGTAACAGCGAGTCTGTGACAGATTTGATTGTTTTTATAAAGGGACAGTTTAATGTGTGATCCAACACTGTTTTCATTCTGGTTCCTCTCTCTCTCTCTCGCTTAATGGAGGGAAAATATACGCGAAGTACAGAATGACTAAGCGTTTTTGTTGTTCTTTGTGAGGTATTGTGTTTTAGTCAAGAACTCCAGCTATAGTTATTTTACTACTGTATATACAGGTCTGGTTGCTTGCATTTAGTAACTTCAGAAAGACAGACTTTTCCCACAGACTAACTTTTCCAATGTTTATCGATTTATCATGGTGGGGAACTCTCCTTGTACCCTGTTTATCTCTTTGTCTCTCCATTAATTTCTCTGTTGTAATCTAGAGCAATATTTTACAGCAAACCCCACAGGGAGCAGAATTACATATTATTTCTTAAAAGTCTAAGCTGTTGGGGGGGCGGGTTCTAAACTGACATATGGAATTGTTTTAAGATGGTCATACTATGGATCATTTAGATATTTGATTTGGAATTTTATACAGTACCAGTCAAAAGTTTGGACAGACCTACTCATTCTAGGGTTTTTCTTTATTTTTTATTATTTTCTACATTGTAGAATAATAGTGAAGACATCAAAACTATGAAATAACACATATGGAATCATGTAGTATGCAAAAAAGTGTTAAACAAATCTAAATATATTTTATATTTGAGATTCTTCAAATAGCCACCCTTTGCCTTGATGACAGCTTTGCACACTCTTGGCATTCTCTCAACCAGCTTCACCTGGAATGCTTTTCCAACAGTCTTGAAGGAGTTCCCACATGCTGAGCACTTGTTGGCTGCTTTTCCTTCACTCTGCCGTCCAACTCATCCCAAACCATCTCAATTGGGTTGAGGTCGTGGGATTGTGGAGGCCAGGTCATCTGATGCAGCACTCCATCACTCTCCTTGGTAAAATAGCCCTTACACAGCCTGGAGGTGTGTTGGGTCATTGTCCTGTTGAAAAACAAATGATAGTCCCACTAAGCCCAAACCAGATGGGATGGTTTATCGCTGCAGAATGCTGTGGTAGCCATGCTGGTTAAGTGTGCCTTGAATTCTAAATAAAATACATACAGTGTCACCAGCAAAGCACCCCCACACCATAACACCTCCTCCTCCATGCTTTACGGTGGGAACTACACATGCGGAGATCATCCGTTCACCCACACGCGTCTCCAATTTGGACTCCAGACCAATGGACAAATTTCCACCGGTCTAATGTCCATTGCTCGTGTTTCTTGGCCAAGCAGGTCTCTTCTTATTATTGATGTCCTTTAGTAGTGGTTTCTTTGCAACAATTTGACCATGAAGGCCTGATTCACACAGTCCCTTCTGAACAGTTGATGTTGAGATGTGTCTGTAACTTGAACTCCGTGAAGCATTTATTTGGGCTGCAATTTCTGAGGCTGTTAACTCTAATGAACTTAACCTCAGCAGCAGAGGTAACTCTGGGCCTTCCATTCCTGTGGCGGTCCTCATGAGAGCCAGTTTCACGATAGCGCTTGATGAGTTTTGCGACTGCACTTGAAGAAACTTTTAAAGTTCTTTAAATTGTCCATATTGACTAACCTTCATGTCTTAAAGTAATGATGGACTGTCGTTTCTCTTTGCTTATTTGAGCTGTTCTTGCCATAATATGGACATGGTCTTTTA